GAAGGGAAAGTTGGAAAGTGTGCGTGCTTATTTAATTTTAAGAAAAAGGAAGAAAAATAAGCTACATGCAAAAAAATCCAGTAACCGTGTCTGCCGATGACCTTTGGGTTTGGAAATAGTTTGATAATAGTGTGAGGACAGGCAAGGAAAGTCTGTGAAGTCACTCGAGCAAGAGCAAAAGGAAAAAAACATGAGCACGTTTCCAGCTTCGTGCATGCTGGGGCACCAAAAGCATCAGGCAGAGCTCAGTGGAAGCTGCCAGGTTTGACTGGAAGTAAAATAGATGGTATCAGGGAAAGCACCAGCTAGGGGCTCCTGCGTGGAACGGTGGGCTTAAATTGTTGGTGTTTGCTGGGCATGGTTTGTGAACTTTCAGCTTTTCCCTCTTGCTGGATTTGCATCCGCTCTTTGTGCGCTGAGGACTGCAGTAAGTGGTTTTATTAGCAAGTCATCAGAAGAGTTTGCAGAAGGCGTCGCTTGGATGTGTGTGAGTTGTTTCAGTGCTCTGTGACTCAGTAATGCCGCATCAAATGTACGTGGCACTGCCTGTCCCTTGTAGCCCTGTGTGACAGCTCACAGTTCACCCAGCTCCCTAGAGGGACGCGTTACCACAGTCCTGCTCTTGCTGTGCCCTCGACCTGTCTTCAAACACAAACAGATGCTACACCTCTCTCTGAGCTGCAGTTCTGCACCGTGGAAGGGAAATTGTCTCAGCAGTCCTCAGCTCCACCAGAAACCTTCCTCAGCCGTGCCAGCTTTCGTCTGTGTCTCCCCTTGATACAGGAGGTGGATGAGCTGTATCTTAGGGAGACCTGTAGAGGCATCACAGTGTTTGCATTTACGTGGCACTTCGAGCTTTGGATTGCAGGCATCAAGGAGTGCCAGAAGCACAGATTCCCTTGGTGCAGAGTGAGCAGTGGCTGTGCTGGAGATGTGAGAAGTGGTGGAAGCCCACTGGTGGGAGGGCTGCACTCAGCTCCTCTGGCCGTGGCAGCTCATTTGAGGTTGGGTTTTTACAAAATACGCATCGCTTTCTTGAAAGAATGTGGGATTTCACTGCAAGTGCTCTTGGAAGTGGTTCAGTGTGCTATCTGGCATGCGTTTGTAATTTGAAAAATAGATTAGAAGAGAAGCAAATTGAGGTCTAACAATAATGGGTTAAGGGAAACGCTCATCTCACCTCCTGCCGTTCTGTTGGGCTGTACATGGGGTTTGGGATCCGAACGCTGGGGATCATTTGATGACTGAAGAACAACAGTTTTGGATTTAAACCCACTTTGCCTCTCTTCTGAAACCAGCTTTGCCATTTGTTTCTGCCCCGCTGTCGTTTGCCCGCAGTGCTGCTGTCGGTGCATTGCGACCTGATGGAAGGCTCATGCTAACAGCATCACACTGCAGAGAGAGGAGCACGGCAGCAAAATGCAGCTTGTCATAGCATAGAATAGCAGTCAGTGAGGTTGGAAATGACCCTTAAGATCACCCCAACCCAGCTCACCGTGCCACATCCCACTGGCCACATCCTCCAGTGCCACATCTCCACTGTTCCGGACACCCCAGGCACGGTGATGCCACCACCTCCATGGGCAGCTGTGCCACTGCATCACCACTCTTTGGGAGAAGAACATTTTCCAAATATCTGGCCTGAACCTCCCCTGAAGGGGATATGGGAACCACCGTGGCCCAGGAGTTCCTGCCTGGAGCAACGCCTGTGCATTTGGTTCTGTTCACACATTTCACCTAACGTTGCATGGGTAACTCCGAGTGCAGGATAACTCCCGAGCTTTTTGTCCTACACAGGAATGACCTAGCTCTGTCTCTCTTCCAAACAAGGAATTAATAATGCAATAGTTGTTGTTTCCAAAGAGCTTAGCTTTCATGAGCAGTGTCTCCTTTTTTCCCTCAGACCCAATGAAACACATGGGCGTTGGAGCCTTTAATAACCCTTCTCGGAGCCTGGTCTTGATTTGTGTGAGCGCTGCCAATGATTTCCATGTCAGAGCTGAGAGGTACGAGTGCAGTGTTGAATTTCTGGGCTGACCAAGGGAGGTCAGAAGCAATAATGCTGGACTCCCCGGTGGACAGGCGTGGGACAGCACACAGCCACGGCGCTTTGCACAGCCCCAGCACAGGTTTGGCTGTCACAGAGCTAATAAAGAGCAGGGCCTCCAGGGAGACGGCTGCAGTGATGCAGGTGTAGGGATCGGGGAGTGTATTTACATACAAGCCGGCTTAATAGCGTGGGATTTGTGCTAAAGTGGTTCTTAATGCAATACAAATTGCATGCCCTGTCTCACTTGAAGGCAGGAGGATGTCAGGGGGAGAGGCTTTATAGCTTTTGGGGGAGAAAGTGGCTTCTTTTAGGGAAGGCGAAGGGCGGCAGGATGGGTGTGCTGGGTGCTGGATGAGCACATCAGGGGCAGGAGTGGGGCTGTGCTGCCCTGACAGGTTGGGGCCGGGAATTGGGCAGCAAATTAACTCACTGAGAAAGTAGATAAAGGTGTTGGCTTTTTTTTTTTTAACACTGTGAGGTTAGAATGTCCATAAAGAAAGCAGCCCAGCCTCTGGTTGCAGCTCCATCCTCTCCCTGCTTCCCTCCCGCCCCATAAAACAGCCATTATGTGTTTATAAGTTAGCGCTCCGTGTCTGGTATAAAAGAAGACTTGTTCATAAACTTCTGGAGAGACAGTTCGGTGGGAATAGAGCTTTCTTGGCACAAAACAAGCGGCTTTTTCCAGATAATGTAATGCTATACGAGGCTTTTTAAAGTCCTAGCATGCTATTTATTATTTTTATACTATCTATAAAAGACACCAGTGCTGAGGATGGCACTGCACTGAATTGAGCAGTGGAATCCTCCATGGAAGGAGAAGCTGTCCCTCTGCATGCGCTCGGATTTATTTCTCCTATTTATCAGGCCTATCCACTGCAGCGAGGACTGGAAGAGATTTCCTTGCTCAGCTATCACAGGCAAACTCACCCTGGCACTTGCTTTCATCAGTTCTCCTAGGGCACTGCAACATTATTTTGGACCTTCCCCCCAGTGCTTGCCAGTGCCATTGGGCTGCACCCAGAGAGCCCAGCACTGCTGCCCACAGCTGGAGGTGGGCAGTGATGGCCCTGGGCAGCCTGAGCTGGGGGTGCCTCAATAGGGTGCCTTCCAACCCCACCGCTGTTGGGTTCCTTGAGCCCCCACGGAGGGATGGCGCGTTCAGCCTCAGCAGCTGTGGTCCCACGGCTGCAGGACAGTGCTCATAGGAAATCAGTGGGCTGATAGAGGTGGACCTGAGACCCTTTGACACACATTCAGGAGGGAGGTGTCAAAACAAGATGTATTTATGACAGAGTTCCTGCCTGCCTTTTCAAAAGGCACTTGGGTCCCGGCCAGATCCTAAACACGCTCGGATTCCCAGGAGTTACACTGAGCACAGTAATGGATATTTCACAGTAAATACTGCCTTGTCACAAAGCTGGCATGAGCAGCAGTGGGCTCTGAAGGCATCAGCATCAGCCGTGTGCCGAGGAGCAGAAATCAGAGCTGGGCTCCGGCCGTTGCTGGCGCTACCACCAAAGGGCACCGGCAGGGAGCTCAGCACACCCACAGCATGCACCTCCTGTCCCGGGCTCTGGGTGCCAGCTGATTGCTGTGTCTTGCCATCCCCTCTACCTCCTATGGGAGCAAATCCTCACACCCTGCTTCTGGGGCTCTGGGTTTTAATAACCATCTCTTCTGAGAGTAAATGCAGAATGTTGCCTTCTGCTGCCTCTGCCCTGCACGCTCTGCAGCTTCCCCTTGCTGCCCATCAGCCTCAGTCGGTGTGTCCCCAACCTTCCCCGCTGCGCAGCGCTGCTGTGTTTACGTGCCCTTGTTGGGAGCTGTCAAGGAGTAATTACGCCCCATTAACTCGGTGTCGTTAATAGCTCACACCTACAGAGCGTGTTCCAAGAAACCGATCTCGCTCGTCTCTTAATTGCTGAAGTCCATAAACTCCATCGCACTGAAACCGTGCAAAAGATTTGCACCCTCTAAACTGCCTCCCCCCGGCGCAGATCTGCACGCAGAGCGGATGTGTGGTGCTGAGCATTGTGAGCACAGCCTGGGGGGCAAAGCAGATCCGAATTGGGCTGAGCGGAGCGGGAGGAGCAGTGCTGGAAAAACACGTCGGGCCTGGCGCTGAGATGGTTCCTGCACAGAAAACATGACACTATTGACAAAGAGCCGTCTCTAATATCCTTTTCCAGCTTGGAAAGAGGAGTTTATTTTAATACATCCTTTTTTAATTGCCATGAGCTGGACTTGTAAATATTGTAAGTGGTTGAGTAATCGTCATCTGCTCACCGACTGAGAGTGGGGACGTTTTTTTTCCGCTCTTGGAGCCCCAGTGTGTTCCCACAGCTCTGCTGGGAGGGCTGCGGGCAGACACCGACCCGGGTCCCACTGCTGGAGGGCCTGGTGTGGGGCTGTGCGTGCAGCCCGGCTCTCCAAGGCAGCGCTTCTGCCCATCTGTGGGCTCAGGGATGTGGGGCAGTGGCTGCACCGTGGGGCAGAGCTCTGCTGTGCACACCACCGTGTTCATTTCCCAAAGGCAGGATCGGCGCTGGGAGCTCTGCTCACACTCGGCAGAGTTCTCTGGAAGTGGGAGTAGTTTGCGTTGGAAACAATTTCCTGATGCAATTTGGGTTTCCTCCCCAATAATCCTTTCCCCCGGCGGGACGGGACAGAGGGATTCCAGAGCAGCTCTCGCAACGAGCTGAACGTATCCCCTGTAATCGTTGTGAGGCAGATGTCAGAGCAGGAAGATACTCCGCAGGCACAGCTAAAAATTAATTTGAGGGGTCGGTGAGAGAAGAGCAACGTGACTGGGGGCTCACGGAGCTGCGGGAATGGAGATGTGCCTGGGGGGGCAGCGGGTGCTGGGGGGGAGGTGGGGGCTGTCATTGCAAAAGACCGATTGTAAAAGATGAAGGCAGCAAACCTTACCGCCTCGTCTCCTCTCTTCCAGGAATGCTGGTGGTGATCGTGCTGCTGCTGATTGCCATCGCTGTGGTCGCTGTCTGGCCGACGAAGTAGGGGGGGCCGATGGAGCTGCAGCTGAGCTCCACAGAGAGCCCCGTGCTGCACAGAGCCCTGCTGTGCTTCCCGGGAGCCCCGCAGCGTCAGCATGAAGCCGTGTCCAGCAGACGCCGTCCCTCCGCTCGGCGCACGGCTGAGGATTCTCTCCCTGCCTGGGTTGGGAGGACGCAGCTGTGCAATGGCTGCACGTCCCAGAGCAGCTCCACCACAAGAGCCACGATGTGCTCCCTGCCTGCCCGCTGCTGCTGGGTACGGGGGGCCCCTGGGTGCACAGTGTGCTTAAAGCACAGCCGCCCTGTTGTGCCGTGCCCTGGGACGTGTGCTGGTATCCCTGCTCCCGTCCTGGGCTGAGATCTGCCTCCTCCTTTTATAATTTTAAACTGAAGGGAAGGATGACTTATTAAAAACGACAGAAAAGTGATACTGAACATTCATTCATGGCCAAAAAAAAACCCCAATTGTTATTTTGTTATCGTTGCCAATTTGATTTCTGACTTGGTAGAGCAAGCAATAACTACAGAATAAAAGCCGGTCTGTTTCTATACGACTCGTGTGCCTGCTGCTGGAGTGCTCGCCAGCACCCCTGGCACACAGCACCCAGGAGCTGACTTTGGGGAGGGGCTCTGCTGCCTCGCAGCTTTACCTTCTGCTGACATCTGGCATCTCGTTGCTGTGGCCGCGGGGCCCAGGAGCCCATTTGCCGCTTCACACCGCACTGAGAGCTCAGGATGGGGGGGGTGGAGAGAGGAACCCACCGAACCATTTGTCCCCGCAGTAAAGATCTGAGATTTCTGCCCTCCGTGATGTTTTGGAATGAATAAATCAATGGAGGCACCGAGAGCATGGGTCACACGGGCTGACCCCACAGCTGACTGCAGCACCGTTTGCAGCACCGTTTGCTTGGGTTTTTTTTTCCTCTAGGGCTGAAATCCCCCCCCTGCAGGGATGGGGAGCATCGTGGGGCTCTGCTGAGCCCCATCCCAGCTGCGGGTTGGCACCCAGAGGTGTCCCCATACCCTGGGGGTGATGGGAAGCAGAGCTCCGTGCACACCGTGACGGTTTACAAGAGTTTATTCGATGTGTTTCTGACTTTAGTTCTAGCAGTGGGTGCTGGGCAGTTACAAGCTCCTTCGGGTTCAGTTACAGCCAATCTAACGAAACGAACCGAGAGGAAAAAATAAACCGAAAAACGGCACCAAAAAAAAACCCCCAAACCAACAGTAACTCGGCAAAACAATAAGAAAATCCACAACTTTTTTTTTTTTTTTCCACGTGTCATTAAATATATTCATATATAATAACCATAATATATTAGTATGCATCGTAAAGAAACATTGCCCAAAGCCGTATGCGATGGTCGTAACTAAACAACATTTACAGTTCAAGATATTAACAGAAATAATCAAAACCATAAAAATGAACACAGGTTTGCGACAGCTCCGGGACCGAGGGGAGGCGGCTGCGTGGGGACGGATGCAATGGAGGGGGACGGAGTGGTGGCGGTTTGGGCATTTGTGCTGCTCCTCGGCCCCATCCCAACCTCTGTCACGTCCCCCCTGGTCGTCCCCAGCTCCCAGCGGGGTCCCAGCACTGTGGGATGGTGCCCCAAGGGGCGCTGGGCTCACGGGACGAGCGTGCGATTGACACGAGGCGGTGACACGGCGCAGCTCTGCCCGTGGGGGTGATGGTTGGGGGTGAAGATCTGCCTCGCTGGGTGGTGGCTGCGGGGTCCCCTGGGGTGATCCTGGGGGTGTGAGGAAGGGCTGCACCCATGGACACCCAGTGCTGGGACGGCCCAAGAGATGAGCACCAGTGGCAGCCGTGGCACCGTTTGCACCAAAGGCACCGAAAGCGTGAATTGTACCAGTGGCACCGGTAGCACCAGCTGCACCAAGGTCACCAAGGACACCAGTTGTACCAGTGACACCAGTGGCACAAACGGCAACAGTGGCACCTGTTGCACCAGCTGCATCAAAGTCACTGAGAGGAGCAGTTGTACCAGCGGCACCGGTGACACCAGTCACCAAACGTCACCAAGGTCACCGAGGGCACCAGTTGTACCAGTGGCACCAGCTGCTCCCCTAGTCGTGCTTACAGGGCCATGGATGGGGCTGGAACCCCAGGGGCACCAAGGCCTGGTGCCTGTATGGGAGCTGGCTGGTGGTGGAGCAGAGCTGGGAGCGCTGGGGCTGTGCTGGGAGCTGAGGAAGGCTCTCGGGGGCACAGGGCACGCACTGTGAGCATCCCCACATCCCCTGTGCTCACCTTCATGCTGTGCAAGGCAGGAAGTGACCTGGGGACGGATTCTTGGTGGCCGCAGTTCCCTTGGACGCGTGGTTGCTGCCTCATGTTGGGCTCTGCGCTGGGGGGATCCAGCTCTGAGCTGGGAGAGGGGATGAGCAGAGCCGGGTTTGGAGGCTGCTTTTCCCCCAGGCCCCTTCCTATGGGACTGGGGGTTCTGCAGAGCTCCCTCCCTCTCTTCCTCCCTCCCTCCATGGCGGCTGCTGCCCTGGAGCCCTCTGCTTTGCACCTATTTACACGGCTGCCTCGCTTTATGGTGGTTTATGTCATTACATAAATATTGTCGATTGCTATAAAACAAGGCAAAAACCGCTGGAAAATGTCATAAAATGGATGTTTCCAAGTTTCCTGAAAGGAAAAAGAGCGGGGAGGTTTTGCTTTGCGTAGCGACTGAATGTTTGCTTCCCCCCCAGGTATCACATTGCCCTCGCAGCCCTGGACTGGGGGACCCCAGGAGCCCCTGCTGTGCCCTGGGGCTGAGCACGGGGCTGAGCAGTGCCATGGCACCCGGCCTTCGTCTGGAGGCTGTTTGCTGTCCTGGGGCAATTCTTGAGGCAGCCACGGTTGGGTGTTTCCGTGGGGCGGGAGTGCAGTGTGCACCTTGTCCTGCCCTGGCCCCACTGTGAGCACCGCAGCACTGAGGGGCCCAGGATGGCTGTGCCAGCTCCGTACTGGGCTGCTGCTGTAAGTTGGGGTCCAAGTTCTGGGGAGGGCTCCTCCAGCATCGCCGCTGTACTCCTGGCTGCCTCGGTGTGGGTGCAGCGATGGCAGTTTGGTGATGGTTTGGTGGCAGGGATTGGTTCACTGTTGTCTCAGTATTTATTTGGTGTCGTTTTGGTGCTGGTTCAGTGCTGGTTTGCTGTGGGTTTGATGTCGGGTATCAGTTTGGTGCCAGTTTGCTGTCAGCTCCAAGTCAGTTCTGAGCCACTCCAGTGCCATCAGTGTCGGTTCGGTGCGGGTTGGTGCCCAGCAGCAGCGCAGTGCTGGCTGTCCTTTCACTGTCAGCTCAGTGCCACCCAGCTGTCCTTTTGGTGCCATCTTGGTGTCCCTGGGTACCCCTGTCCCCCTTCCTCCACCACCGCTCCGCACCCCCTCTCCGCCCGGCGCTTTTATCACCACATCTGCAGTTCCATCGTTGGGTTTCACGTGTTTTTTTTCCCCCCGCTTCATCCCTCGATACAAGACGCCGTGAGCCCCCCATGCCCACCCCCCACCCGCACCCAGCAGCGCTCAGTCCATCACCGTTCCTCCCTACGCCTTCCTACATTTCCCCTTCTTCTCCCGCTGCTGGAACTTCCGCAGCCGCCGTGCCCACGTGTCCCGCCATTGGATCACCAGGCTGCTCTTGTCCGCGATGATGCCGCTCTGGTCTGGAGAGTCCTCGGTGCTGCCCAGCAGGAGGTACTTCTTCATGGGTTTCACCTTGGGGCACTTGCAGGCGATGTCCTTGGCGTGCACCCACAGGGTCTGATCCCCACGCCGCAGCCGGTTGCTGCCCTGTTTGTAGACGGAGATGATGTTGACGGTGAACTTCCACCAGTCGGCATTTTTTTCCGCTTTCAGGATGTGGATCTGCACAGCTGGAAAAGAAGGAGGGAGAGGAGAAAGGCTGTTACGTGTGAGCTGCAGAGAGGAGAGCGAGCTCAGCCTCACCCCCCACACACACTGCACAGCCCTCCATTGCTCACTGCAGCCCCCCACCCCGCACTGCGCAGCCCTGCGCCCCACACTGCACACTCCCCGCCCTGAACTGCACGCCCCTCCACCTTCCACTGCAGCTCTCCATCCTGCACTGCACACCCCCCATCCTGCACTGCACTCCACGCACCCTGCGCTGCACAGCCCTCCATCCCACACTGCACACCCCCAACCCTGCACTGCACAGCCCTCCGCTGCACGCTGCGCGCCCCCACCCCGCACAGTGTCAGTACTTTTCCTGCCGAGCATGGCGTGCACACCAGCTGCTTTCATCAAAAAAAATAAAGAAAAAAGGGAGAAGAAGAATTAAACAAACAGCCGAAGCTCTGACCGTGTATTTCCCAGCCTGGTGTGAAGGTAACAAAATGTGAGCATCGGCCAACTTCTAGTTTTTGGAAACAAATCTTTCCAAAAGAGCTCAAACCTTTGACCTGCCCGGCTCCACGCTGACAGCATGGAGAGAGTGAGTGGGAAGGAACTGGGAGGAGCTCGCAGGGCACCCCGTGCTGACCCACGGTGTGGGGAGAGCTGCTGGGGATGGCTGTGTGCTGCCTCTGTCTGTGGGGTGGAGGGAGTGAAGCTGAGGCACTGCTGGCATTGCCACAGCTGTGATGAATTCCATATGCAGCCCCATTGCATCCCACACAGAGACCCAGAGCATCCTATGCTCAGCCCCATTGCATCCCATATGCAGCCCCAGTGCATCCCATACTCAACCCCACCGCAGCCCATAAGCATCCCCACTGCATCCCACGCTCAGCCCCACTGCATCTCATGCTCAACCCTTTTGCATCCCACGTGCAGCCCAACAGCATCCCATGTCAGCCCCACAGCATCCCATGTCAGCCCCACAGCATCCTGTGCTTGTCCCCACTGTATCCCACACTCAGCCCCACTGCATCCCACATGGACATCCAATGCATCCCATTTGCAGCCCCCACTGCATCTCATATGCAGCCCCACAGAATCCCATGCTCCACCCCCCAGCTCCCCATGCTCAGCCCCACTGCGTCCCGCACACAGAGGATACAGGGCAGAGCCTTTGGGACCGCAGTGATGACACTCTGGGAATGGAAAGCACTGCATCCTCCCCCGCTGGAGCAAAATGTTCATATGGGATTTTTTTTCTTTCTTTTTTTTTTTTTTCCCTTTATATTATTATTTTTTTTAAAACGTATTTGGCAAAGGCGCTGAGCTTTGCCTCTCTGGCCGCCAGTTTCCTACTGCCTCAATATTGGGGATTTACAGCCCTTCATCCCGGTGGGGCACGGGGCCATCCAGCCCCACACCTCTGCTGGGGCTCTCCCCGCAGCGCAGCAGTGGGGCAGTGGGCACAGCACTATGGGACCCCCCCCCCCTTCCCCTCCCCCCTACCACCCCATCACCGCTGTACTGCAAATATTTGCACTGAACCCATCTTGTGGGAAAGAGCCCAATTTATCCAAAGAAAAACCCACCGCAACAGTACCCAAAGCAGAGAGATAGGGCAATGAATCGGGGCCAACGTCCCCTTTCAGCCCGTGAATGGGGCGGCCAGCTCAAAGGCCCCATTGAGGAGTGTGGGGTGATAGCAGCCAGCGGAGCCCGCGGGAGCAGGAGCTCCGTTCAGCTAATTAGGGCCTTTTAGGACATTCAGTGTAGCGATGCCATGGAGCGATGAGGAAAAGAGTCTCCTAATTGGCATCCCACCGCGGTGTCGCTCAGAGGGGCTGCATTATCCCCCGTGCAACTTTGCAGCCCTTTCTTCTCTCCCAGCTCTGTGGGAAGTGTGAGCTGTCCCAGCACCGAGCGCCCCATTGCCGGTCCCACAGCCTCGCTCTTCCCCCATCCCAAAGCATGGCTGTCCCAGAGCATTGCTGATCCCAAAGCATTCCTCATCCCAAAGCACTGCTGACTCTGCAGCATCGCTTGTCCCTTGGCGTTGCCTCCCCCACAGCGGCACTCATCCCACAGCATCATCTACCCTGCAGCACTGCTATCCCATCCCACAGCATCACTTCTCCCACAGCCTCTCTTATTCCTCAGTATCACTCCTCCCATAGCATCTCTTCTCCAATAGCATCCCTTATCCCATAACATCACTTATCCCATAGTGTCTCTTGTCCCATAACATCTCTTATTCCATAATATCTTATATCACACAGCATCACTTCTCCCACAGCATTACTTCTCCCATAGCATCTCATATCCCATAGCATCTCTTATCCCATAGCATCTCCTATCCCACAACATCACTTATTCCACGGCATCTCTTAACCCATAACATCTCTAATCCCATAATCTCTTTTATTCCATAACATCTTATACCCCACAGCATCACTTCCCCATAGCACCTCTTGTCCCATAGCATCTCTTATCCCATAACACCTCATCCCACAGCACTGCCCCCCCTGCAGCACTGTCTGCCCCTCACCCTACAGCACAGCACTGCCGGGTTTGGGGTGGCTGCACTCACCGTAGTCCTTCTTGCAGTACTTCTTCATGTTAATCTTCAGCTTCCCCTTGGAGGCTTTGCAATACGAGTCACAGTCTGTGGGGCAGAGGGGGGGCAGGGGAACACCATTAATGAGCTGGAACACGAGGAGAAGCTGTGGGGGGATGTACCCAGACACCCCTCTGTGGGGCCGGGGGATGTCAGCAGTTCTGTCTCTCCTAGGGCACAGAGACCCCTCCCACAGTGCCCCACAGCCCCGTCCTCACCCCCCTGTCACCCTGACCCCGTGGGGTCAGCCCGGCAGTGGGGCTGGGGAAGCAACTGGCGCTCCATGGAGGTGAGCAGAGTCAGAGGTGGGGGCTGCAAAGCTGTATTCCATTTGGTTTTGTAAATACACTTCATCTTTGGTTGCAGAGCTGGAGTTGAGAGTGAGAGGCTGAACACTGCAGGGAAGCACAGTGCAGGGCTGAACCCTACAGCAATGGGGCTGGATGGGTGTGGGATGGATGTAGGTTGGATATGGGATGGATATGGGTTGGATATGGGATGGATGTGGGATGGATGTAGGTTTGATGTGGGTTGGATATTGAAAGGTTGCAGGTTGGAAATGGGATGGGTGTGGGACGCAGGCAGTGGGCTCAGGGCTGCAAATTGCAGTGCTCGCAGTTTCTAAAGGGTAACTCATACTGCACCAATACTGCACCAAAGCCACGTGTCAGGAACGGAAATGAATGGCCCTCAATCCCGACATGACAGAGCAATTACAGCCTCATTCCTTGGCTGGGGCGTGTAACTCAAACTGCAGGTTTGAGGCTTCGAACCCCCATGGGATTTGCGTTTCTAATCCTGATTTATACAGCTGAATCCCCATTGATTTCCCCCAGGTTGGGCCCTAAATGCCGCTGTGGGCTGACAGCCAGCACGGGGATGCCCAAGCTCACAGAGCACCCCCTGCACCACACTCAGCCCCACAGCCCCAGGCAGGATCCCCACCCCACAGCCCCAAAGCGCCGCGCCTGGGATGCCCCAACCCTCCTTACAGCCGTGCCATGGGGCCATCCGCCCCACGCGAGGGGCAGCGGGACGCACCGCCATCCAGGGGAACTGCCCGAACCTCTCCCTTGGAACAAGGAGTGCGAACAAGCCCGCGGAAACCTCCTTTGTTCTGGCTGAGCAAGATTGATTGGAAAACAAATTGGCGCAAATAAAGCATGTAATTAGATTAAAGCCTCTCACCCGCAGCGCTGGGATGGAAAGCAGGGACGGGCGCTCGGCTGCTTTGGCCGCCCTGTAACGTCCCAACCTGACAGCAGCTCCCCAGCTGAGCGGTGCTGTGTGGGACAGTGACACCATGTCACCATGTCACCACATCATCACTCATCACGTCACCGTGTCACTGTCACCAGGAGGGACAGAGTGGGCTCTCCGCTCCAAGGCAGAGTGGCAATGGGGAACCAGAGCTGTGCTTCAACAAGGGGACGCAGCCAGGAACGCCTCGGGAGTGGGAAGAGGAACTGTTCATTTCACTTCAGAATAGTAATAATAATAATAAAAGCAATGATAATAAATTGATCTGACACTGGACTTGCAGCTCCCACCCTGGAGCTGGTGGACACCCCCTCCTCACTCGGAGTGCTGCAGACCCAGATGGAACCACACCGATCCCATCACCTGGTTCCATTTAAACCCTCCTGCTGAAATCATCCACCTCCGGTAATCAGTCCCACTCCGATCTGGGTTAGGGCAGATCAGACAGCAGTGACTGGCAGCTCTGTAAGCCTTTTTCTCCCATTGGGAAGAAGCAGAACCAGGCAGGGCCCCCAGAAGTTCAATGCTTCCACCCCTGCTCTGGCTCCGTGCTCGGTTAGAGGCACCAGCTGGTCCCCTGGCTGGGATGTGGGGCAGCAGGGGATCCCTCTGCGTAATAATAGGTATGGAGGGGACCACTGTAGTGCTGGTGCAGAGACAGAGGGAGGAACGGGAGGTGCCAATGGGGCAGCCCTGTGTGACCAACATCCCACCCCACGGCCCCACAGAGCTGCTACACTGGGGCACAGTTGTGGCCACACTGCTTGACGCATGGAGCGCACAGACAAATAGAGGCAATGTTCAATAGAGGCAATAAGCAGCGCTCGGGTTTTCTGTCCTCTAATGGGGGACTGTTGGTTCTCCAGTCCTCTGACTCGAGAAAACTCAACCACCCAAAACCCCACGTAAAGCCCTTCTACCTGGGGTAACCCCTGAGCGCTGCCAGCTCGGCCACATCGCCCCCTGTGCTCCCAGAAGTCCCGCCTGGCTTAGAAAACTCAGACACCGGGGGCACAGAAGTTATGCACGTCTCTTAAGTTGGTGCAGGAATTCGGTGCACTTTTCACGTTAAGGAAAGAGAAGGTGTGCCTTGAGGAGCTGGGGAGGGGGGGCACGTACCTGCGGGCTCCTCCGTGCTGCTGGCGGCTGTGGGGGGCGGCGCAGCAGGGATCTCTGCAGGACAAGAGGGGACAGAGGAGGCAGGGTTAGGCCCGGCGCTGAGCAGCTGAGCCCTGCCCAGCCCCCAGCATCGCTCCTGACGGCTTTTGAGCATTTGGGACGTGGCACTTTTGGAGCATCCCTAAGATCGCTGCTGGGGGGCGGTGGTGGAGGGGAGGTGAGCTGACGGCTGCGCTGAAATGCCGCTTCTGTGTTTGTTCAGCGCCGCGTGTCCCCAGGGGGTGACGCAAGGGGAATTTGCCCTCTGGTTCACCACAGCCTCGGGCTCTGGCGGAGGGCAGCCCTTTGCTCACAGTGTCAGCACGGCGCTGAGGGAAACCAGCGCTCGGCCTGGGCTCTTGCCACCCCGCTGCGGCACGGGGACGGATGAGTGACCAAAAACCACCCTAGGACATGACGAAAGGACGGCTGCCCCATAACTGGGCGGTGAGATCCGACGCAGGCTTTTGGCCGACGCGCCCTGCGGCACGAGCTGCAGCTGGCACGCGGCACACGGGGGTCAGCAGCAGCCCGGCGCGCTCGGGGTCCCCTCGGTGCACCTACTGATGCAGGGCGCGATGGGCGAGCGGCTCTGCTGGTAGCCCTTGGCGCAGCGGTTGCAGGTGATGCCGGTGACGCCGTCCTTGCACGGGCATTGCCCCGTCGTCTGGTTGCAGGTTTGGCCGGCGGCGCCCACGGGATGGCAATCGCACTCTGCGGGGGGAGCACAAGGGGAGGGGGGGGGTCGTTAGCAGAAATACCCGCGGGGCTGCAAGGGGAGCGGGGCGGGGGGAGAGAGCGTGAGCAGAGCGGCGGCACAGCGGTGAATGCAAAAGGGAGCAAATGAGGGCAGGGTTGAACCAGGAGAGGGAAAGGGCGCCGGGAGGCCAGGAGGCGGGCAGGGCTTCAGCGAGTGCGGCTGGGGGCTGCGGGACCCTGCGAGCAAATCCCGGGGGTGGAAAGGGACGAGAGATAAAGGAAAATAAAGGTACAAAGAAAGTGAAAAAGGAGAAAGAAAAAGAAGGAAGAAGAAAAATGAGAAAAGGGGGGGCGGGGGGGGGGGGGAAGAAAAGGGGAAAAATAAAGAAGGAAAATGAAAAAAAGGAAAAAAAATGAGAAGAAGGGGGAAAAAAGAAAAAAAAAAGGGGAAAAAAGAAAAGAAAAAAGAAAAAAGGAAAAAAAGAAGGAAATGGAAAAAAGAAACAAAAGAAACAAGGAAAAGGAAAAAAAGGAGAAATGAGGGGGGGAAAGGAAAGGATGAAAAAGGAAAACTGGAAAAAAAAAAGCAAGGAAAAGAAAAATGAAAAATGGAAGAAGAAAGAAGAGAAAAAGGAGGGAAGGGAGGAAGGAAGGAAAGGGGGAGAAAAAGAAAAAAAAGGAAAAAAAAAGAAAAAAATGAGAAAAAAGGCAAAAAGAAAAAAAAAGAAAGAAGGAAAGAAGAAGAAAAGAAAGATGAAAGAAAGGGAAAAAATAAAAAATATAAAAAATCAGGAAAAAAGGAAAAAGGAGAAAAAGGGGAAGAAAGGAATAAAGGGAAAAAAGAGAACAGGGAAACAGGAAAGGGAAAAAAAAAGGAAGAAAAAGAGAGAAGGAAAAAAATGTTAGAAGGGGAAAAAAGGCAAAAAGAGAATGGGGGGGAAAGGAGGAAAGAAAATGGGATAAAATGGTAAAAAGGAAGTAGGAAATCAAAAAAAAAAAAAAGAGGGAAGAAAAAGGAAAAGGAAAACAAGAAAAATGAGGAAAAAAAGACAAAGAAAGGGAAAAAATTAAAAAAAGGGAGGAAAAACAGAAAAGAAATAAAAAAAGAAAAAGGAATAAAGACGAAAGGGTGAAAACACAGAAGGAGAAAGAAAAAAGGGGAAGAGAAAAATGGGAAGGGAAGGGAAGGGAAGGGAAGAGAAGGGAAGGGAAGGGAAGGGAAGG